ACGTTGAATGATTGACAATGGACTTCACCCGTACCTACAGTCCTTGGGAAAGCATTCGCTACACTCATTGAGTGTCCCCGGTAGTGCAAACGTGGTTGAGGCGGTGGCGGTGCTGATTTAGATACATGTGCCTACCTTTATTAGGCACGAGGAACGCGGGGTCCTTTTTGTATTTGGGGCCATTGCGTATTTGCTATATCGATATCTTGTAAAAGAAGTTTCAATACTAGGTATGGTTCTTACTTAAATACTTTTCGGATCTAAATGTGACGTGTGTGTGTAGTGTCGGGCAGTCTCTTCGGCGAAGTGTCTCCATGCGCGACCCTCGCGTTGTCCATTGCCTGCTTGTTTAACATAATGCCAAGTTCATGAAACAAGTGAAACGTTTCGTAACAATGAAACGTTTAACTTTTGTTTTAAAAATTGCATTCTATGTATATTTAAATGATTTTAATTAGCATTAAACCAATAATCCATTATATTAAATTTTGTATCAATTTGCATATAATTTACACAGTAATCTAGCAGAAAACTTGCAAGACAGTCGTGTCGAGTTTTGCTCTCATTTTCGCGATGCTGTCATCGATGCGTTTGCGATAATACCACGTTAATACATACCAGGAAAACAATACTACGTACGATATTTTCCTCATATTGATTAATATGTGATATGCAAGCCTAGATAGAAACATAAATGGCTTTGTTAATGTTTTTCAATTCAATTCAATATTCTTTATTGCACAATAAACAAGCAAAAATACAAAACAATCAAACATACAGTGTACAACAGGCGGCCTTATTGCTAAATAGCAATCTCTGCCAGGCAACCTTGGGGTGATAGGATAAACTAAAAGTAGTAATAATAATAGAGGGCGCAATAAATATGATATTATTATTAAACATCATAATATATGAATAAAATAAATAATAAATATCTACTAACATATAAATTACATAAATACTTAAATACTAATATAATACATACAAATAAATATATTACCACCACAGAAGAGGAAAATTAAAAAATTAAAAAAAAAGTAAACCAATAAATAAGACAGCAGAGTAGAATTTATAATTTAAGGTAATGAGCCTTAACTAGGATTTTAAATGACTCAATAGTCTTTGCTCGTCTGATCGACTCAGGCAGGTCATTCCACAGCTTGATGCTCCTAATAGTGAAGGAGTTGGAAAAGTATTTTGAGGAATGGATAGGACAGTTCAGAGAAAGAGTAGAAGAAGAGCGCAAGGTGCGACAGAGAGTACTGCTATGATATTCAAAACAACTCTTAAGATAAGTAGGAGAAGTTGGATTAAAAAGGACAGTGTACAGTAGGGATAAAACGCGGAGATCTCTACGACGACGAATGGGTAGCCATCTAAGTTTCGAGCGAAAATCGGAGATGTGGTCAAATTTACGTAACCCAAAAATGAACCTAATGCAAAGATTCTGCAGCCGCTCTAGTTTGCCGAGGAGACATTCAGACAAATCAGGATAGCACGCATCTGCATAGTCCAAAATAGGCAAAAGGAGTGATTGTGCTAAACTGATTTTCGTCGGAATGGGAAGATAATTACCTAAACGCCGAAGAGACCCATGCGCAGCAAACACCCTCCTACTTAACTCCGTGACATGAGGCCTCCACGATAAGCACTTATCGAAAATAACCCCAAGGTTCCTAACGGTGGCACTGAGTGGGATTTGAACGCTATCAAACGTGATAGGTGGCAGTAAGGAAGGATTAATACGCGTTAGGAACCAGGGGCTGCCAATGATTATACATTGTGTTTTGGAAGGGTTGACACTGAGACCAAATGATTGACTCCAGGTGAGAATCCTCTCAAGATCTATATTCGTAGCACAAATTGCGTCACGTAAGTTGGTTAGAGGGGCCTGTGTATATATTTGGAGATCATCTGCATAGAGATGGTAAGAAGAAGAAAGTGAAGAAGTGATGGAGTTAATAAAAATAGAAAATAGAAGAGGGGATAATACGCCGCCCTGCGGTACACCAGCAACAACATTACACCACGAAGAGAATGAATCCTCGCAACGAATGCGCTGTCGCCGCCCATACAGGTAACTATGGAACCAGCCAGTCACTGCCGGAGAAATGCCAAGAGAATCAAACAGCGCAAGCAACAAGTCGAAATCAACGGTGTTGAAGGCACTGCTAAAGTCCAACAGAGTAAGGACGGTGAGTTGATGATTCTCCATTCCCAGTCGAATGTCATCAGAGATTTTGACAAGAGCAGTAGTCGTACTATGTCCAGAGCGGAAACCGGATTGTAAAGGATTAAAAAGATTGTGACGAGTAAGGAAAAGGGTGAGTTGTTGATGGACAAGCTTTTCAAGGACCTTGGAGAGGAAAGGGAGAATGGAAATAGGGCGATATTCAGAAAGGGAAGAGGGATTCGTTTTCTTTGGAAGAGGAATGATGTGGGCATCTTTCCAAGCAGATGGAAAGGTACCAGTGGAAATGGATGTATTAAGGATTTTGGTTATGACAGGAGTGAGGATATCAATGAGCGGAATGATCATATTACGACTTTATTATTCATTTATTATTATTCATTATATTACGTTTTTATTATTCATTTAGGATCGTTCGCATTATATTTCCTCGATTTTTAGCATTGGTAATTATATTATACTGCTTTAGAGTTAGAAGGAATGAGTTTAAACTTTTTTTTATAAATTTAACTGCACCCAATTACTTAGATTTATAAGCCTTGATTTTTTTTATAGCATCAAGTGACGGGACAAACAAGTCGTGCGCCATCAGGACTTGTTTGTCCCGTCACTCCCTAACCATCAGGTAAGCTACACGCCTGTCCATAACAGTTACGGTGCCACTCGATCTTTAAATTGCCAAGAGGGGCACTACCACTGCGCCCGTCACCCTGAGACATAAGTTGAGAAGTGCCTGTAATTTCACCAGCACCCTTACCCTTTAAAAGCGGAACAGAGTAATGCTCACATTACTGCTTGGCGGCAGAAATAGGTAAGGTGGCAGTACTTCCCTAGACGAACTCTTTCGCAAGGAGCGCTACACTGCTACTAAATTTTAGGTACAAATGGGAAAAACTCGTCAGCTTGATGGTCGAAGGTAAGCCGAATAGAAATCGCCAAAAAATAAAATATTATCCAATAAACTAGATATATAGAGGAAAATCGGTACTATTTAACAAAACTGCTATATTATAAAAGTTGCGATAAGAGGACTAATCTGTGAATTATTTAGTTTTCTGAGCGAAAACAAATAAATGTTATTATAAGAATCTTTATTACCTTTACCGTTTTTTAAATCGAAAACGTAATAAATACATAAATAATGAGTTCTTGTACGTGGTTTTGAAAACAAGTCTACTCCATAGAGGAAAATCTTTACCAAGAATCGGACGTTGTTAGGTAGAGAGGTAAAGCTGAAAACATTTATCTAGGTATTATATAACGAGGAAAAAAGGTAAACAAATATTGAAACTGTTGGTTTTGTAATAAACGTTTAAAGGATCGTGCAGCTCGATCACAAGCTCAAAAACTGTAGAATTTTCTTAGCTCTCATTGATTTTTTCCTCCGGCTGGGGACTGTTCTCTGGCCGCTTCCTATATGTATATGGGTCACGTGACCTGAAATAAATAAATTGCACATTTGTAAATGTACTCCCTCTCTGACGTTTCAATCAATCAATCAGCCTATTGCAGTCCACTGCTGGACATAAGCCTCCCCAAGTGTACGCCATAGTGCCCGATCACCCGTTTTCCGCATCCACCCACTGCCAGCGACCTTCTTCAGATCGTCGGTCCATCTTGCAGGAGGACGTCTTACGTTACGTTTGCCGAGACGTGGTCTCCACTCGAGAACCCGTCTACTCCATCGCTCATCGGTTCTGCGACTGCACAACATGTTCCAATAAGCTGTTTTGAGGTGAGGCGGTAATGGTCTGTTGCTGAGGCGTTAACCGAATTTAGCGCTCGATCATCGTATTGATTCGTGCGTTTTCGACAGCGCAGCGCGTTCGTAAGAGTTCTTTTTCCTGTTATAAGGATTACACCCCACATCCTTATATACAGGTTGAAACACAAATAACTCCAATAATACCTTAAAGTAAAAAAAAGTGGAAAAAAATAAAGGGACGGTGCGCAGCGGCGGTGAAACGTCGTGTCAATTTATGTTTTGTTGATGTTTGTTCGTATTCGTGACGTGATAAATAATCTAAATTATAAAAATACCGTTTTGATTTGACTTTGATAAATGGCTTTATTTCGTTTAAAACAATTCAACTGACGTTTTTGTTCAGCCTGTCTGAATTTAACTCAGCGTCAGATAAACTTGCCATGAAGTTTATGCGCCTAAACGTTCTTGAGGACACAAGTTGCTTTTGATCGCCGTCGCTATTATCGCTGTCCGATAACTGAGCAAATTGTCCAAGATCACAGTCGCTATCACTTGAAATAACTTCCATTTTCACTCTATCACGCAGTACAATCGGTCAAAATTGGAGGATCGCTACTATAGATCGAACACGTTCAAAATCCGATTTGTCAAACCTATGGATTGGATATTGAAAGCGCACAACTGTCGCTGCTATACAAATGTCAATCTAAAAATGCTATACACCCTTCCACAGATGGATTGAAACAAAAGATCGGAATAACGATCCATCGATCGGTTATTGAAATAGTAAAAATAGGATTTGGATTGATTATTCAAGCTCAGATAGCAAATCATGGATTGAGATTATTTAATCTCAATCCATAATTATATAGAAATTAATAATATAATGATAATTTTATAGAAAGCAGCCGTAAGGAAGGTTTGTGCACCGGCGCGGCGGCGATGGATATATTATGCACTCGTTGCTTTTGTTGTGTTTGCTATGGCGTACCTACATAAATGGATTTTGTGAGTAACATTCACTTATAATTATTACAACGAATGAGAATATCCCGTCCCGAATACTGCTTAAGGAGGTTTAAATCAAATAAATATTTTTCAAATTAACTTTTTATTATTGCTCGCTCAAATGTTGTATAATCGCTCTTTGAAAGTTTCAATACATTAAAATATATTGTTACAGTATGTAGAGCCATACCAATGGTGATTTTATGGCATCCATCCATCCTTCCACGTAGTAAGTAAGTAGTAAAATTCAGAACAAAACTAAAGCTGAAAAAAAAATTCGGCTATACACTTTGCTTTAGATCGCTATATCTTTACAATTAATGATTCAGCCAAATCATTATTTTATTAAGTCGCTTAAACGTGGCCGGTTAGTCGTCTTCTGACGATGATGACGATGAGTCCTCGGGCAGCGCATACAGCTCGTCCCAGACACGGAACCTGTCCTCGAAGAGATTCTTCCCGATGGAGAGCTCACTGTCGATGCGCAGGTACTTCCTGTCGCGGGGCTTCATCTCGGGCCAGCGCAGTCCCGCCAGCTGCGGCGTGTCACAGCTGTGCGGCCTTGGGTCTCTGCGTAAATAAAATCACACAGTTTTACCAAAACGAGCAATAGTGTATGAACGGGTTTTAGATATATTAAAGAATAGTATATGTTCAAAAGATAGCGATTATCTTTCCACACGTGCGTCTTTTGCAGAAATCGAGTAGTAGTAGTAGTAGTGGGCTTTTGTATTGTAGTCCAATACGAATTTAACTCTGAATGAATATTTTTTTATTTGCAACATTACAATTGTTCAACCACAGTTTCCAAAGGTTCTTTGTGAACCTAATAAACACACCCGAATCGAGCGAAGTTGTACCACAGCGCGACCATGCGCTCGACGATTCTGTCATCGGCCGAGTTTAGAGGAACGGCGGGGAAGGCCGCGGGGAGAGTGAACAGATAAATCAGGTCGTCATGGTGAGCCGCTCCTGAGGGAGATAGAGATTTGTCAGGAGGGCGGTATTTACAACAAAACATGCATTACTCCCCACTCTCGACTACAAGTTCACTTGCCAACGGGCTTCTTGGTGATGGGGTCCTCGTAATGGCTGTGCTGACCGACGTAGCCGAACTCGTAGTACCATACCGGTTGTGGCGAGTAACGACACATTAGGTTTGCCATTCTGCAATGGCATACGATACAAATGATCGGAAATTTAAACAACCGTAAAGTGACTTCAATAATATAGGTAAACACAGGCGTTTTAAATTATTATAATTATAGGCAATACAAAATCTTATTAGAATAATATAATAATGACATAGAATGTACATCCTTACCTATGAACAGCAAATCCAATGATACTATCAGAATAGAGTTTTCCCAGTCCATCGGCGGACGTGGAGTCGTTCCTCAGTGGATTATCGTTGAGATAAGCTTTCCTGAGCCTGCGGGAGGCGACCGCCGCGCCCTCGGGAGGTAGCATGAAAGCGATTGGTGCAATGCGCTCCCAGTCTTCGTTCATTGCCTGCATCCTTGTTGCATTGGCCAGAATGTCTATTCGAGAATGCTTTTCGAATTAGTTATTAGAATTGTATTTAAAACAATAACTCAATAAAACTATTAAGACACCAATTGTAATTTTTTACGGACACCTGAATAAAAAGGACATTTTTAGAATACTAACTGAAAGCTTTCCAGAAAAACTCGTCTTGCGTCTGACTGATGATGATCGGCACGGCGTAGAAATCTCCCCGACGAATGATGTCCAGCGGCTGCTCCGTCAGGAACCGCTCCTGTCCGAAGTCCGGCTCGACTACCACGTTCCACATTAAGACCGGGTCGAAGCCGAACTCCTAAGTGATAAGGATTTCATAAATCGTTTATAAAAGACACCTTGACAATTGTGACAACTTAAAACAATGCCAACTCATTCAGGGCTCAAACTTTCATCTGGGATAAAAGAAATAGCAAATAAAAAAATACTCTAAGGCAATTGCAACAAACCACCACCACGAAATAAGTATGAAGCGTTTTGTGTCAACGTTACGACCGTTTGGAGTTTCCAGTTTCTCGACCAATATAACTTTGGGACTACAACACGATCGATCAATATCGCTCGCCAATACCTTAGTGTTGAAACGCAATTTAAATAATACAAAGACAAACCTACGCAAATAACGGAAACGTACAAACATGTTATCCAAGGAGTTTCCTAATTCCCTCCAAGTCTTCGTCTTCAGACAGTCAATGATCTGCTTGCTGGTATCCGTGGAGCAGTTGAGCAGCTTCGCCTGCCGCTCGGCAAGGTATTTCTGCTCATTTCCGATCACCACTTGAGAGATCGGAGAGGCGCTCATGGCGATAGCACGGTGGAATAGACCTGAGAGAAAGTTTTTTTTAATTTAAAAAAAATTAAAATTAAAATTTTTCGTAGCTATTGTAAAGCAGCATTTCCACTCAGGCGGGATTTTACGTAATGTACACTTATGCAGTTTAGAGCCATATAACTGTGAGAAATCTCTCGCTACATTGTAATGTACCTAACTCTTTTATCTCAATGAAAAAATCAAAATGTTGACAAACAGCCTAAACGAAGTTCATGAACGACTAAGAGTCCACCAACCTCTAGACATAGGCGAGACCATGTGCAGTGCAATACTAAACGAGCCAGCACTGTACCCCGTGAGGGTAACGAGGTCTGGGTCTCCGCCAAATGCTGCTATGTTTCGCTGGATCCATCTTAACGCAATGACCTGGTCCTTGAATCCATTGTTGCCTGGGGCATGCTCGTCGCCTGTACTTATGAACCCTGTAGACAATATATGTAAATGAAGCCAACAAACCGCTTTTGTACCTTATTCCGTTTGTAACTATTGTTACAGTCGTTGTCTCTATATTGTTGTCAATTTCTGGACTGATTATTTTTACTTCGTTTCAGATAAATATATTTTAAAAAAATTTGCACGTGAAGAAAACTTAAGTTAAAAAATAAAATGTATTAATCTGGTAATGACAACAAACGTTCTGTTCCGGGCGGCTACTGTTCACGTAGTATAAAGCCAACACACCTAGCGCGGCGAGGCGGTAGTTGAGCGCGACATAGACGACGTCCTCCTCGAGCAAGTAGTGCGGGCCGGCGACGTCGCTGCGCCCCGACACCGAGTAGAACCCGCCCGGGTGCATGTACACTATCACCGGCAACAGCTTCGAGCTATTACACATTCACAGGCAAACACAACGTAATTAATTATCGAAGACTAAATGTTAATTTCTAGATATTGGGCATGATTGTGCATTGCTAAATTATTTTTAATTCTTAGCTTTAACTGTTTTTATACGTATACATACAATGTTACTCGAGCAATTTTAACGTTTTTAATAAAATGTCAATTTTTAGAATGAAAAAAATTATGTAATGCAAAAAAAATTGGACGCGTTACCTATTAGTACGTCCTGGAGTATAAACGTTAAGGCGAAGACAGTCCTCGTCGACGTAGTAGTCTGGCGATAATGTGGGCTGTGGGCACGCTGGACCCTCCTCAGTCGCGTCCACTTCGCCGGAGTACTGCTTTATTGGTTTCGGCGGCTTCAACGACGGAAGCAAATGATGCAAGTTCATTTAATGCAGTACTATATCGCGCGATATAAAAATGTTTGATAGCAAATAGGTAATTACTATGAATACGTTTCATTTTTCAATAATTCGAAAGTTTCTTTCAGTATCTTTGTAAACTTTCCTTTGTAACATAAACCTCACCTGGAACCGGAGCTCCCCGACCGGTGGCTCAGCAAATGGAATGCCCCGGTACGCGTGAAAACGCCGCCCGCGACGCGTCTCCATCCACGAGCCGCGGATCGCGCCAGCCGGCGTGGCTGTCACCGGCGTCCCAGACTCCCTAACATCTGTTATGGAAAAACTTTAGCAAACTCTACCATTATTAAAAAAATAATTAGATATATTCCAAAGAAAATTAAAAGTCTTTCAGTAACTTTTTTAACACATTACTATTTTTGAATTTTTGACCGTTATTGGCACTCAGCAGCGTTATCTTTTATAAAATAAACCTTCAGAGAAAAACCGTTCCCAGTAGATTTGAGTGGGCGCGCCCGGGCGTCGCTTGGGGTTGTAACATCGTGTTGGGGTACGAACATCATCGATTCCATTCATGATTATGTAACCATATTTGTGGAAAACTAGACTTAGTAGTAATATAATGTATTAATCGAAAATCACGCAAGCTTTTAATACAGTTAGCCTTTTTTAACCTATTAATCTCTTTCCTTGTCGCGTAAACAATTCTAAATAACTAAATAAAAGTATTATTGAAAATACCCTGATCGTGGTGATGACCATCATGTCCATGGTGGTGTTTATGTCCATGAACAGCTGCACCGGTGCCGGCGACACACAGGCAAGTGATCATCACGAGCCACTGCATTTTCAAGCCTCGTTTGCACTGACACGGTAGTACTGGCGGCGGCGCTGCGCTCTTCTAGCAACGCATGATACTGAATAGGTAATACGGCAGTTTATATTTATATGAGTGCTCAGTTGTTTTTGTTTGGTGATTCATGATAAGAGTGAGTCTGTTGTTATTAATTTAAAGCATGTACGACCGACCGCAAAGTGGCATATGCATTCAGACTTTTAGCAGGTATGGAAGTGTAATCCCGACAACGCGTCGTATATGTATTTTTCAATTTTATAAGTAGTTCGGCTTACAATGCTCACAGTCCGACTATAGTTATGGAAAATCTGGACTATTGCCAGGGCTGGGCAGTATTTGAATTACTTGTATTTGAAATACGTATTTAAAATACAAATACGTATTTTGTATTTGTATTTCAATTACTCCCTAAAAATGTATTTTGTAATTGGTATTTCAAATACCTGACCGTAATGTATTTTGTAATTTGTATTTCAAATACTTTCGTTGCAAAATACATTTCAACAAAATACTTTTTTCTTTTCAATGTACAGCCTATTTTGTGACGTACATAGATTTATATCAGTGTTGGGCATTGATAATGATAATATATTTATTGCAGTTTACATAATATAAATAATACAAATTTTACACTATATTACGTATACATGTAATATACTGTAAGGGCATAGCAATATAAAAACTTATAATATGGTTTAATTACATTTCAAGCCTTAGCAATAATTATTATTACAAAATTTCTTATTATATTTCTTATCATATATATAAACATATTATTAATTGTACAATTATGTGTTATACTAGTTTTAATTCGACCATAATAACATTGCATTTACTCCATTATATAACATGTTATCTACTTCATTTTATTTATTTATTCACATTAACTGCCTCCGTGGCCGAACGGTTACCATGCCGGACTGCCACGCAGAGGTCCCAGGTTCGATTCCTGAGCCGGGAGAAATATTTGTATGGCCTGTAATTATTTCTCTCGTGAGTTTGGGTGTAATTTGTGGTTGTCTATGTGTGTGTCCATGGCACCCGCGACACAGGGTTTCCCTAGTGCGGGGCTATGTTGAGTGTGTGCGTTATATTATTATTACATAGGTACAATGAAAGACATATGAATCCTGTAATATGAATATGATAATAATGGACAGCAAAATAGGAATGAGGCAGATCAACGCTATAGCAATTTATCATCAAGATATTGTTGCACTGTATAGTAAGTTTTATTAGAAAGAATGTTTTTTAAGTTATTTATGAAAATACTTGTTTTATTTTCTTGCTTTATATGCTCCGGTAGTTTGTTGTATATTTTTATCGACATTGAATATGGGCTCGATCTATGCATTTCCAATTTTGAGAACGGTGTTACAAGATTATTTCCGTATCTTGTGGGATGGTGTCTTGGTTCGTCTCGCAGTTTAGTGTAAAATTGTGGGTACTTTTTTATAAATTTGCAAACTTCCAAGATGTAAATTGATGTTAGGGTTAAGATTTTGTATTTTCTAAAGAATGGTTCACAGCTCTCTGTTCTTGATATATTTGCTAGTATTCTTACGCAGTTTTTTTGTTTAATAAAGAGGTCATTTACAGTTGTACTATTGCCCCACAATATGATGCCGTATGATAACCATGCATAAGCGTACGCATAGTAAGCACTTAGGGCAGTTTGTAAATTTGTTGACTTCTTTATTTCTTTTAAGGCGTAAGTAAAACTAGATAGCTTTTTTGTGATTTTTTGTACATGGTGCTTCCAATTTATATTTGTATCGATATCTATTCCGAGTAAATTAAATGTATTGACGGTTTCTATTTGTATTTGGTTATACGAAAAATTAATATTTAGTGATGGTTTTTGATAGGGTCTAAATTCTATAATTTTGGTTTTTGTGAAGTTAATTTCTAAATTGTGATCATTCATCCATGTTACAATTGTAGTTAGTGTATTGAAGTGAAGGGTTTGATTTAAGTGGTCACTATTTTTACAAGAGGTTAATATTGAGATGTCGTCAGCGAAAAGAACACATGAATCGTTTATTACTTTTGGGAGGTCATTTATATAAGCCAGGAATAGTATGCACCCAATGACGCTTCCTTGTGGTATCGAATTGTTCATGTTTTGGGGCTCAGATCTGACTTGAGTTATTTCCCCTGTCTCATAGTTATAATGCTCGATTTCTACATACTGGATCCTGTTTTCTAAATAGGATGCGAACCATTTATGAATGTCACCTCGTATACCCATTCCGTAAAGTTTATCCAGTAAGATATCATACCGAACTTTATCGTATGCCTTTGACATGTCCAATAGGATACCGATACCATACTTTTTTTCATTTAGTGTATCCAGAATCTTTTGCATAAATTTGTAAGTCGCAAGTGTAGTTGAACGATTTTTCCGAAAACCATTCTGCGACTCATCAAATATATTGTACTTTTCACAGAAAGAGTATAGGCGGCTACACATTGCCTTCTCAAATACTTTCGAAGCCGCGGGCAATAATGCAATGGGTCTGTAATTACTCAGATCATACTTACTTCCTTTTTTGAGGATCGGTTTTATCAGGGATTGTTTAAGAAGATCCGGGAACACACCCTATGCAAAAGACTGATTGACAAGCGTATAAAACGGAAACGTCAATTCGTCTGCACATACCCTTATAAGCGCGGATGGTATCTCGTCTATTCCATAGCTGTATTCATTTTTTAGATTACGTATAATTCTGTATCGTTCCAATTTTAGTATATGTACTGCCGAAGCAAGTACGTTAATCAATTAAATTTCAATCAGATTAAAAAATCTATTCAATTGCAACTGATTTCGATTGAATTGATTTTAATTGCAATTAGATTAATTTTATTAGTTGTTCTAAGAAACAATTGAAACTAACAATTAAAACCGAAACTATCAAGTAAAAGTGTCATCACGAATATGGGTTAGGGGATGGGTTTGGGGTGTGTTAGGGGG